AGTTTTAAAATGTAGTCTTTGGTGACAATAGAAGCGAATAGAAAATGCAACACAAAAGGAGTTACTAATAATGTTCTGGGTGGTGGGGGTATGAGGGATGGCTGTATTGGCTTCTGAGTAAAACCTCAAAGGGCAAATTACACTTGTCACTATTTGTCCTAAATTGAAGCCTTTTATTGCTTCTGGTTTCTCCATATTGAAGGGCACAGGTTCAATAAAAGTTAAAACACACCTTCATGCTTTGCTTTTTTTTTTACTTAGATCTAAGATTATTTCATACTCTGGCTTCCCTGGGGGAGCTAACATGTGTGGTTTTTAACTTAGTTTCCTTTTTTAGACCTTGTCATATTTGGGTTGGTTCACCTGGCCCAAGACTATAAATTATAGCCGCTGTTGTTGCTGCTAAGATATCTGCTGCCACTGATGATAGTCCCCTCTACACTCATGTTCCCTCAGCTCAGAGCTTGCACACCCTGCTTGTCTTCTTCTCAAATTCCCAGGAAATCTGGAGATGGAGGTTGTGTAACTCTATGGGAGGGATGGTGATTTGGTTAGAGTATTAAAAGTGGTAAAAACATACACTAGGTTTAGAGACTGAAGCAACCTCATGTTTGAAAGATACTTTTGATATGTTTAGTTTGATGGTTACTGGCAAGGCGGAGCTGAGAGATGATGCTGAAAGGGCAGCAGTAGCAGATTTTGAGAGTCTTACATGCTCTGCTTTGGTATCCATGAGTAAGACATAGGAGGAACACCAGGATTGATTATGGAAGCCAAAACCTGGATAAATACAGGAAGCAGGTCAACAGCTATTAACACGAGTCAGGTCCAGGTCCTAGGCAAGATATGGAATCCAAGCAACAGCCTGGGAGGTGGATGTTTTCAGATCTTCATCTCTGTTTTACAGAAGAGATAAGTGTGGCCCATAGTGAGAGATTATGCACTTAGTCACCTTGTTTAATACCACTTAGGTGATGATATAGAATCATGTAGAAATTTTTATTGTAGGTATAGTTTTTTGAGAGTAATACTGTCATGTCATATATAAACTGCAAATAATAAGAAGAGATAGTATATTTTTCTCTTTTCCTGTTCCTTTGCATGTCTGTCTGCCAGTCTTTCACACATAGACACACACATACACAAACACACATTCATGAAGAGTCTGTGTTTGCCATATGGTAACCATAGTAATTAAAGTCTACCTGATAAAAACTGGGATATTATTTATTTTATTGATATATTAATTTATTGATGAGACAAAAACTCATAAGTTGTCTCCATGGTATTAGTATAAATAAGTGAATGTTTACAGTTTCAGTGAAAGAGCCTGTGTTACAACTACCATCAGTAAACTCTATGGAAAAGGAATTTTACTTAAAAATAAGGTTATTATATATGGGTACTTATAAGACATACAACTCTTTTAGGTATTTTAAATTAATAGTGTTTGCAAAAGGCTTCAAATCAATGTAATAAATTGAAACCCAGTATCAAAACAACTGCTAAAGCTCTTTTAATATTATACATTTAACATCAATAAAATTTCAAAGTGGAACATATTTCTTCTAAAAATTAAAATATTTTCTTTTCCTACAAAAAATTAAAGAAGCATGTGCTTATTATTGAAACAAAATATATCTTATTTTAGAAGTTTATGATTTTATGATGGATTTTTGTAGCTGTTTATAAAATCGTTTAAATGATATTAAGAGTGGTTTTTGAGAGAGTCAAGGAATGCAGTAGTAAAATAGAATTCAACTCATTGCTGTTTTACAAATCAACGTCTATTCGAGGTTAACTTATTACCTTGTTTCCTTATCAATTCAGCTTTTTTCTTCCTGACTTTCCTTATTTTTAGTTTTGGTATATGAAGTAACAATGTAGGGTCAGGAATTCAGTTGTCATGGGGGTGAGATTGCTTTGGATATGTTGAAGTCATTTATATTATATTTCAGACTTGATATTTGTTCATATATTTGAAAATGTGTATTATCTGGGATTTCACACAGAGATCACATAGATTAAGAGGTGCCAGTATATTGTAATTCCCTATTTTGCATCGTGGTTTCCACTCTAGGTTGAAGAGGAGGGAGCATTATACCCTGAAGGAAATTGTCATTTTGAGAATGAAGGCTTGCCACTTGTTCTCGCTTTATAAGTTTACTGTCTGACTGGTATTTTACCTAGACCTTGCAAAGAATGAAAGTTATGGCTTTGGGTGATTAATTTCACAGAAATCTTAAGAATACCAAAGACAGCTTAATATTTTCCTATGATTAACCCCAAACGTAGAGGGTTACCTTTTGTAGAATCAAGAGTTGATTTCAACTGAATGTTTCAGGTAACCAGGAAGTGTTGACCTGAGTTAACCATGCCTCGTTGTTAAAACAGCTAACACAAATTGAGAATTCATAATTAAAAATATGGCATTTCAGAACTCTGAGGTCCTCCATACATTTTTTTCTATATACTTTTTAAAAACCCCATATTTAGCACATATTCATTATACTCAAAAGTGATTATAGCTTCCCTAGGTTTTTAGTACTCAAATTTAATTTGAATAACTTTAGAGCAAATGGGAAAAAATCAGCTGTTTTATGAGCGTTAACATGAGTAATTAAAAATTAAAATTTAAGCCAAATGAAAGAAATTTAAGTGACTTATTTATCAAATAAATATTGAGGGATGGGGGGAGATTGCTAACCAGATACCAGCTGCTTTCTCCTTTAGAGCTATAGTTCTCGTGGCTGGACCCTAGAATCACCTGGGGAGTTTTAAAAAATACACATGCCTCAGTCCAACCCAGAGAGTATGATATAATTTATCTAGTGAATGACCTAGGCATTGCAAATTTAAAAAGCTCCTCATGTGATTTGAATGGGAACTCAGAGTTGAGAACCCTGTCTCTAGAACAGTAGTAATTAAACTTTACCCTGCATGTGACTCATCTAGAGCACTGGTTACAACGAATTCCAAACTGCTCCTCCAGAGTCCTGGTTTAGTAAGTCTTGGGTGGGACCTGCAAATTTGCAAGCCTAACAGGTTCCCATTTGATGCTAAGGTTGCTAATCTGGGAACAGTGAGATTGTTTGAAAGGCAGAATTTCCGGTCCTAATCCAGATATGAGAAATCAGCAGCATCTGTATTTTAAAACTATTCCTAGGTGATTCAGGTGCACAGTAAAGTTGGTGAAACATTGGACCCAAAAGGACTGAATAATGGAAAATGCCATCAAGAGGAATTAAACAGTAGAACACTGTTCAATATTTGACATAAAATAACATTAGCACTAGGAAAAGGTGTTGCTGTGAGAATTCTTAGACTGTATACCCACCTTTCTTTTAGAATAGGTTTGGCTTAGTTTGTTAAAACATTTTCTACCGATCTGTTTAAGAGATCTACATTGTAAAGTATAATTCCAAATTTACAGCAAAGGAACTTGAAGTACTACTGTGTTTTTATCTTTTGGACACTCTCCCAGCTATAGAATAGAAGAACGTAGATATGAGATCATGTCCCATTATCTCCATCACACATCTTTACTTCCCTTTAACTTTTCAAGTTCTAGGATTTTTATTGCTATAACATGGTTAGTTTAGTAAGAAACTGAATAAAATTATTTTTAAGTTTTATTATGTCATGT